GGAAAATAAATTGATCTCAAGGGAATTGATTAAATAACTAAAACGTTTGTTATAAAGAGAAATGGAGAAAGCTTACTACGAGTATATCTATCGTTGGTTTTCGTAAATGTCAGTCTACGTCATCTACGGGGACGCCATGTTGTAAATTGTTGATAAAATGGCGTATCTAGCATAAAATGGCCGTTATTTTTTTTGTCATGTCTGTTGTATGCTGTGTTTTTTTTTTATATTATACGTTAATATTTTTAGAAGATTTTATCTCGAATAAGAAGCATCATTTATGTTCAATTTATTTTTTGAAATGCTAAAAAAATGCTAAATAGGTACAAACAATATAAATCCTATTGGATTTATATAAACCATTTATCACAGGTTCCGAAAGTATCCCAAACGTCAGGTCGTAGTTAAAATAAAATAAAAAAGTAACATATATTTCGCGTTTTAAACCGTTCAACGTGTTTGATATAAATGTATACTACTCGTGTAAATGATATACATTACTTGTACTATTGTTATTGTTACGATAAATTTAACAAGAAGTTACTAATTCACGTAAACCTACTAAACTAGTTTTAAATGAAAAGTAACCCATAACTTCAGTATAACACAGCTTTTAATTACTTATGAAAAGCCGAGTATTACGCTAGCTTTGTTATTGTCATCTATGGCGCTTATCGCATTGTTTGCGTTAGATAAAGCTGTATGAATGTACTGTAGTCAGTGAATGACGTAGAATTTACGTTCTCCATCAATCAGACAATATTTTATTGGAAGACTGTCGTCTAGCTGTGCGAAATCAGTGTTTTAAGTTGTTACCCACGACGTCAGTCGCGTCCCGTCGTTCTTGCAAGTTAAAATTAAAATATGGATATATAGTATCGCGGACATTTTTTACATCATTTAAATAAGAATGATCTTGCACCGTATTTGCAGCATACGTATAACACACAAAAACGAACGAACACCCAAAAAGATGATAGATAATATTCCCATTATCTTTACTCATATTTACCGCTGTTTCATCGCTCCTATTAGTCGTGCTAATAAATTTGCTAACGAACACAAAAGTAATTTTTCAGTTCGAACCAGCACTTCCTGAGATTAGCGCGTTCAAACCGACACATTCTTCAGCTTTATATATTAGTATAGATTTAATACAATCGACTTAACGCTTGCGGTTACGTCAGACTTCATCACGTACCGAAATGCCTCGAGAGTGATTAATACCCACGCCTGCTTGATATGCAGTCGCTATTTCCGCATCTCACATATGGGCTCTCCAATAATATATAATTGCGAAACGGCATGCATATGCTACCTTAGCTTTTAATAAATAATCATAGATACTACCCTACTAATCACAGATACAATACCCAATAATATTAGCGTTTGGTTTGGGTGGTAGATATATCGAAATTCCGTTCGATCCACGAATCACCGTCCACAGATTAAAAAGGTTGATCGCGTTTTTTTCAGTCTGTGGATTTCTGAATATATAAAGGTAAAATAGGGCGACAGCGCATTTGGTTGGGGTATTTTACTAACCATCGAGTGAGCACCATGCTTGTCTGATAACATAAAAATTGTAATAAACTTTTAACTATACTTCGGCGTTGTGTTCCAGATTATTTATAGCTTAGCATTTATAAATTACATGCTCAATACATAAACTGTTTATTTAGATACAATCAGTACTAATTCGTTCGTTTATTTCGACACTTGTTTTCAAAAAGGCTATTTCTATAAATGTAAATACAAAAATAGTACGCACAAGAATAGCTATTTAGCATTGATGAAATTCGCTAGCTGAAAATCTTTCGCCATTTTATTTACTAGCTAAATTTGAATTATGAAATAGCAATTATTATGCACAAAACATGTAATTACCGTGTGAATTTGTGCCTCTTTTGTGACTTGGCTATAGACTATAACGAGACCACGCCACTAAAATACCAGTTTTAATTACATTTTCATTGTTAAGATGAATTGCAAATTTTTGCTATTCGTTGTATTGTGGTACGGCGTCACACTATTATGTTAATATTTTTAAGATTTAACAAAAGTCAAACACCTCGCTGTAATTTACTATATTCTCTCCGTTATAGCGTTTGTTAATTTATGTGGAATTCTAAAATGTATTAATGCAATGTTACTCGATTCCTTGATAAATATTTTTTTACTTTTGAGTTTTGATATTGCTTTAGGTCATGAATAGGGTGTAGTTATTGCAGGCAATATTAAATTTTTTAACAATAACGCACTGTTGTTTATGTTATGACAAATAGCTCAATTGGTTAAGTCAAAAAAGTATAGAGTGGTGAAATGAGCTTTTCCGAACTATAATCAATACGGTGACAAGTAAGTATTTCTAAGTGAAAACAACAGTACAGTAAGTGAGAAGAACAGAAATTCTTGTTATATAATTATTATTATGACTCCATAGCTCAATGGTTATAGGCGTTGTCTAGCATTGCGTTAAGGTTCTGGATCCATTATGAGAAATAATTATAAGACGATGAATTCTTCGGGTCGGGTAGGACACAGAAGGATGATTGATTAATCAAACGAACACAGAAATGACTGTTGCCTCACAAGGGCAAATTGGTTTTGAGTCTTATAACTCGGCACTAGAGTTATAACGAAATATATTCACCTTCCTCATGCATGAAATATATGTACTCCAAAACTATTTTTGACATTTACGAGCAATTTAGTGGAATGAAATTCAAACTTTTGATGTTGGAATTATGAAAAGTAAATTTTTCGCAGTGTTACCACACGACACGTGAGTATAGTTAAAATTTAATTGGTTCCGTGAGCTTGTGAGAGATTTTAAGCATCAAATAATTGAATTTAAAATGAAGAATCTAGAGACTAATCTACTGTGTCAGTTTACGGTTTCGTCTGTGTCATTGTATTTTTTAGGCTAAATCAAAATTACAAATTAATAGAAAACCATTGTTTTGCCATCTAAATTAAATCACGCGATATTCTAGTACCGAAAAAACCTAACTAATTAACCATGTTTGTGTGTGAGGATGTGATAATCTACTGTGAGTCAACGGGAAGGGAATATGAAAATACTTCCTATATTAACTAACTATTTAGATCTTCAAAGATGAAATCCGAAACATTATATATAACAGCAATTAAACTTGATACCAATGTTGGTGGGTCGTGACCCGAGTGAATATTTGGTATTCATACCATTCGTTCATAATCGAAATTTCCATAATCGAAATTCGAATAAATTTCGATTAACTGTTGAACCTGGTGAGGATCGCATCCACAATTCCTTAATATTGCATAAAATGCTACCTCTACATGTTCGTCGAAAATCAGCATTTATTTATTTGAAGAGGATTAAAGAACCAATAAATTATTCGATATGGAAATAACCTTATAACGACTGTTTAGTAGACAAACTTAACCGAAAGTAAGATTTTAATTTCCTAGTTACGCTCGTGAGTTTCCTTTCTCGACCCGATGGCGCCACTTGTTGTTTAGGGATGTTACGTCTATCTCTCGATATTCAACGATAATAGCATTCCATTAACTTGATATTAATTGTGGTAGAATTGTTTCTTTAAGGAAAAGTATTAAAATTTTTGTCTATCGGAATACTGATTTGCAAAAATTTCCTTATTTTTGTTTTTGTTAAGTAACTTATACTTACTGATATGAATAATCTTCCGACTTAGCGAGGATGACAATACACTAGTGTGACGCGATTGACGCGCGCGCCCCTGCATTAGCTCGGCAACTCGCAAATACGAATGACCCACATTTCGTCGGCTAATCCAAATTTTGGCTAATAAATGAATATTTTAGAATTTAACATTGTGTTTCCGTCTTAATATTACACAAAAATGGAGGTAATTTACGAGTTAATCGATATTTTTAATCGTTATTCATCGTTTTTATAGTCTAAACAAAAATTGTATTAACAATATAGCAATTAACTAAGATTTTATTTGTTTAATCCCTTCAGTATGCCAAGTTTTTGAAGACTAGCTACAATAACCATGGAATTTGAGATAACAATTGCAGCTACACTAACATCATTTGCATTTGTGACTCTTTTTAAATTTTATTTTATATAGTTACTGTTATTCTATAAGGAATTTAGGTAAATATTCACTTTTTAGATCAATAACGTTCACCATCTCTCGGGATTATTTGGAATACCACGGTAGAGCGGAGTCGATAAATTGTTAAACAAAATTCATCGATATCAAAGACTTCCCTATAAGGCGAAGTATGTACCAGGGCAAGTCACTTGACATCTTCGATTTTCGATATTTACTCAGGGATAAGATTTAGATGTGAATGCTAAGAATAATTCCGTGTATAAGATCATCCATCGTCCCCCTTAGAAAGATTAAGCACATGAAAAAGACTAAATAAAACACTTTAATAACGGTTTAAAACGCGATATATATTCGTTAAACCTATTTGAAAATTATTTTTTACTATGGCCGGACGTTTTGGAAGCTTTGTGGTCGTGGTCACGGGGAGATATATAGTATATTAGAATAATTTTCAAATAAGTTTAACTAATATATATCGCGTTTAAACCGTTAAAGTATTTACATAAAAACTTTTTTCGACCGTCGTTTCGGTTTTACTCTGTGGATTTCCGAATATCCAAAGTCGACAGCGCATCTTGTTTCGAATTAAAAGCTGGGGTATTACAATTGAACCTCATTTGTCTTCTTCTATCATAAAAAAATGAAACTCAAGTGTTTCACCATTTCTCTAAAGTGATGAAACATTTTATAGTAAGTCAAAAATTGTCTATTCCAGGTACCAGCTGAGTGAAGAGGGTTGTGAAGATATATGTTTGAAATGAAGAACAAAATGTTTATTCGTTTGAATTTGCCTATTTCAAATTATTTCATTGAAAATAAATAGACATAAGTAATGTATTTTCTTAAAGATTTTAATAGACTTTACTTACAAGGCAAGTGAGAGTAATACAGCCTAAACATTAATACACTATGAAGCTCAGCGTGAGTGCGTATCGCGCACATGCGTCCGCGCATAAGAAGATCCTTACGTCTTCATATCAACAGCACTATGGCAGCACTGCAGCGCCACCTGTCTGCAATCCAGTGCAACCACCGAATTTCACACCACAAGTTAGTATTTCCTCTATTATATTATACCAAATCTATATACAGAAGGAAGTCGATTTTTTCGAGTAATCACATATGATAACAATAACATCGACTCGGAACTTAAGGCTTAGGATACTTAGTTACTTTTAATTTGTCTACCAAATACAAATTGCATTAAATATTTGTACAACGTTTTGAATCTATTGGCGCTATCCTTGATACGACTGTAATATTTGCAAATACAATATTGGCCTGCGAGAATTAATTGCAGTTAACGCCAGCAACACCCGCGGAATTGCAGATTCTAATTTATAGTTGGTACCTACGTGTTACTTCAAGTTTCATATAAATAAAAGGAAATCGGTACGAATGTTTATTAATTGCATTTTATAATTCAATTAGTCCGTAGTCTTTGCTATTATTAGCTAGCAATAACAGACATTTCAGAGCTTGGTCAAATCATGACATAAGGAAAATGTTCTACCATTACTAAACATACAGAATAAAACACATTTTAACAACAGCTAAACAACATGAAAGACTTGACAAATGCAATAAGTTAAACGATAAATATAACAGATTATAATTAATTTTAAAACACTCTTATTAAAATTGACTATGAAGTTTTAAAATTATTAAGTTCTTAACCTCAAATAACACTTAATCTGAATTAAAAATCGAAAATAAATTTAAAACATCGACTCGGGCAGGACTTGAACCGGCATCGTCAGCGTTCCGTGCTGTTGCTTTACCAGTGGCTATAATTATAAAGTGCCATCATATCAAAAATATTAAAGTTTCTAAACACTTCATCTAAACTTAGGCCCTATTCTAACTAATCAACTTGTATATTGACTAAATCATTATTGAAGACGCTTAATTTTAGTCCTATTTCGAATAAAGCAACACAAATAACATCTAGTTGAATTGTAATTACATTCTAAGATTTCCAGTAATTTGTTTTTCATCGCATTTGGGGAGACAGCGAGATTGTACGATACACGTAAGACAATGCCATTTCGCGTTCTCTTGTCGTATTTCGAATTTAATTTTCACGGAATGTAAAAGAGTTTGCTTGATTAAACAAAACAATTCTTACGGGTTAAAATAGGTATGATGTATAAAGATGTTAACAATATGACTGATAAGAAAAAGACAAAGAACCTGATAAGATTGACGATAGCGAGTATTCGACTTATCGTATAAATTATAACACGTTAATGTCGGCTAAACAGACATCTCAATCTAATAGGAGTAAGCGATAAGCTCTTATGAGAAAAATGAGAAAAGAGAAACAAACATCTACTCACTGAATTCTCAATGTACCTACTCAACATTGAGACACACTTACCTTTATGGGATGTCGCTTCCCATACAACTAAAGATCAAACGGATGACACAATTTTTTAAAGAAACCGGAAGCTTTAAAGGAGTTAAAACGGGTTAAAACGTGAATTATACTTATTCAATTTACCGTGATTACATTAGCACCGAATGAATTTATTTCCTTTTCAAAATCAAAAATAGAACACTTCGTAGCGATTTTTTTTCATTTTAGGCAGTACTTTAAACTTAATTTTATTGACATTTTTAAAACGATACAAGTACAAGCTAGTGGGTACCCACCAAATAAAGTATCTACGTTTTGAAGTAGAAATACATCACAATTCGAACTGAAATGGTCCGGAAAACCCAACACTCAAACCTACTTAGGTCGAACCGTTCGAGTACGAAGAATCAAACAAAGTAATATCGAAGTTTTATTCCATTTTATTGAATATCCAGGTTATCACGTCCGCTCAGGGATTTGAAATCTTAAACAGCGTCGACGATCTCCGACTTCATATTTTTCTTATATGATTATCTGCATACTTAATACGATATTAAGATTACAAGGCATTTATTTCAAGGAGTTTAAAAACTTTCAGAACTATATAGGTATAAACCAAAAATATATTTTAAAGCGAGAAGAAATCTAGACGACAGATTTCACGCTATGTTTGTAATTACCATTTAGAATATTTATTTCTATTTTATATATTGGTAATTTCATTAATTATACAAAATTGTATGAATGTGTGAAATATGTATGATGTACAAATGCACTTCAGCAAATATGTATATATGTCAGTCTTATCGGTATTAATTTTAGAAAATCAATTAAAAAATAACAATAACTAATTTACTAGAATAACATTTTTTAAAAAGAACATATTTTGTGCTTAAATAAAAGAATAGTATAAACATTTGTGTGAGGGAACGTATAAACAGTACCGTCTATTTGAATCGATAAAGTATCGTATTTTTTGTAGCATTTGATCTGGTTCCAACTCGATGTCAAGTTATCATGTAAAAGTTTGTTTGCGATACGATATTGGATTTTACTCTTATACTGACATCGTTTGAAGGATATTTGTTAGGCTGTTTTCAGTCGTAAACATCGCTAGATGTTTTTTTTATTATATTAGGAATCATAGATAGCTTTGAGTTAAGGATAAACCACTTTGTTACGGAATACATTACGACGCAGAATTCAATAGCACATACTTAGATTGGTCCTAGCAACCATTGCAGTCTACGGATTACGCGCTGTATAGTCATTCATATTCTTTATTTTATTTATTTCAATAGATAATACTTAGGTACACATGATTAAGTTGTAATACAGATTGTTATGTTTTATAAAAATTGTTGCTAATATTGCTTAGCTATATCAAGTTCTGATCAATAAATTATAATCTATCATACTTCAATGGAAGCCTGCAGCGTTGTTTAACCCATGATTAATTACTTCACAACTTCGTCTATGTTTCTCTTGAAATTAATTGCTATCGGTTACTCAATATTCACAAATGGGTTATATAGTGCCTTTAGTGATCTACCAAATAAATATTTACCAATCTATCATATATGTGTACTCATATCAAAAAACGTTTTGTCTGGTTTTTGAGAAATTATAAAAATATATTTACGCGTAGATATAAAATACTTTCCGAATTACGAACCACAGTAGGAGAAGCTGTGAGTGTGAATCTGCTTTCCGTTTTAAGTCTGTGGACTTCAGAATTAAATATAGGTTTTAACCAAAACGGGTCGACAGTGCACCTTTTACAGTTGTTAAAGATATTCTATCACATGAACCTTATGCTTGTCTGTCGTCATCTGTCATATAAAACCAGTTAATTGTAAAATATGTTTACAAAAATCTACCTTCATTTATTATTGCTATTTTAAAATTTATTAAAATCTTTTGACATTAGTTCAGTACCTAGATATTACTAATTCATTTGTTAAATATTAAATGTTGCCAATTGTTTTGTGTAGTCAATAATAATTAATAATATTGATGAGTTTGATTCAACGTTATGGGCTTTCATTGTTAATAACCACAGTTATAACTGTTATGAACGCTTTATGTGTTTGAATCCTGAAAAAACCAATAACAGTTAAGATTTGATAGAACACAGTATAATTAACTTTTCTGAAACATGTTGGACTTCGTCTGGAAATCGTCCGGCTGACGAAACACCATCCACAGAAGAAAAGCCTGTATCGCGTTTCGGTTTCAATCTGCACATTTCCGAATATCCAAAGCCAAAATAGGTCGATAACGCATCTTGTTTAAAAAATAATCAACATATGAAGATTATTTTACACAGGAATTACATTACAGAGAGTCTAAAACAAAGTTCTCTCTCAATTGTGAATTTGTAAAACTCAAATAAATTAAAGTTATAGAGCGAGGGAAATGTAGGTGAAAATGATTGTTAGGTGAGAAATAAGAAGGCTTTGGAAAACGTGAGTCGGTGCTGCCTTTTGTTAGTTCGAGATGGGAACACGACCCTTGTTAGAATGAAATGCGCTGCATTATGTTTTGTTCTAATTCTTATGTATATTTTATGTGCTAAATTGTTTTAAGGAAGTTATTTACATAAAGGGAGATACTTAAATGTCTTTAGGTAAATACATAATAAATAGTATTACTTTGTGCACAGCAAATTATTATTTTTTTGATTATTGTTTGAAGTCGTGTTTTTGTTAATCTTTAACAAATTTTAATAAAACGTAAATACTTTGTGAACATAAAAAAAGCAACAAGACGTAGTTACTGTTTATCTCTCAAGTCTACTTAAATTCTTAGATTCAAAAAAAATTTATTTATGAAAAACAATATGGTTTTAGATCAAAATGTAGTACTCTATCGGCTACTATTGATATTATAACGAATTTAAAAGTATCCATAGATCGTAAAAAAGTAGCTATTGGCGTATTCATAGATCTAAAAAAAGCCTTTGATACTGTGAGTCACAAAATTCTCATAAATAAACTATCACAACTAGGCTTAGAAGGTGTTGCTCTTAAAATTTTCAAAACTTACCTTACAAATCGGAAACAAATAGTAAAAATAGGTGATGCACAAAGTAGTACTGCAAATTTGACTTACGGTGTGCCACAAGGCTCCATTTTGGGACCTTTGTTATTTTTGGTTTATATAAACAGTATCAAAGACATAGGTTTAAAAGGTGACATTTCCCTTTATGCCGATGATACAAGTATTTTTTATTTTGGCGAGACCATAGAGTCCATAGTTAGAGATGCACAAGAGGATTTAAATAATTTAAGCCGGTGGTTCCATTCCAACTTATTAACTATAAATATTACGAAAACTAATTACATTATTTTTGCTCCTAAAAACAAAAAAATTCCAAATTTTACACCATTGACGATTGATAATAAAGCTCTTGGAAAAGTGGACAGTGAAAAATACCTTGGTTTAATCCTAGACAGTGCTATGACCTGGAACCTACACATAGACAAAATTAGAAGTAAGCTTAGATCTCTGACTGGAGCTTTGAAAGGCATAGTTCGCTGTTTACCAATCCAAGTGCAATATCTTATCTATAATTCACTAATAAGACCTCATATTGATTATCTAATTGAGGTCTGGGGCGAAAACAAATCTTAAATCATTACAAATTTCTCAAAATAAACTGCAAAAAAAAAAAATCTAAAATCATAACAAATTTCTCAAAATAAACTGATAAAAAGACTATTCCATTACGATTATTTAACTTCTACTGATACGATTTATAATGAGACTCGACTTATGACTATCAATCAGACCTATATTTATACTACTTCTATACTTGTACGCAAAATTCTAAATGGAGCCATCTCAACACAAATAAAATTTCATAAAAATCAACAAATTCAAAAAATTCAACTAAGAAACGCTAATGACTTAAATCTATACAAGCCACGCACTAACTATGGTAAAAATAACATTCTGTATGATGGCGCTAAAATCTATAATCACTTACCCAAAACTATTAAAGAAATTAAATCATACAAACTATTTAAAACTAATTTAAAACATTATATTGTTAACAACATAAAAAAGATTAAATAAAGAAAAAAAAATACAATATGCCACAAGGTTGCACCATCTTATAATCCAGTATCTATTATTTATTTATTAACGTATTAAAAAGCAGATTTACAGCTAACAGAGAACCATTTCAAACCAAACTATATTTGTAAATTCGTACCTACTCGCATATAATATTATGTAACGTATAATATTGTGTTTACGCTTAAGTGAAAATGTATTTCTTGCGTAAATAAATGTCTTAAACCATATAAGTCAGTAGTTTTAAGATTTTATATAAATAAAAATTCCGTTCAACGGGCGAGACTTGAACCACCATTGATAGCGTGTCTAATATAGCTACAGTATGCATGTGGAGTAAACATTGATTGAGGAATCCGATCCAATATTAATGTTTAAATGTTTTTGTACATTTCTAAAACGGGAAATAAACAAATTACACAACAAACAATGCTATTATTTAAATAAAGGATATCTAAAAAGTCACGAACAGCAAGAAGCTGATACTACGGTTCTGATTGCCGCATTATGCGGACGAAATTGCCTCATCCACTCGACCATTTATATTTCCGCGAAGTGACGTGTGGAGTTATTTTCATTAAGTTCGTCTCAGGAATTCCGGACATCACCCAAATGAGCTTTTTATGTCGCAACCAATGTTGAGCTTTTTGTTCATTCTCTAGTCATGGATTACAATTAACTTAAATTACTGCTTTACAGATAAGCAAGTCATTTATTAATAACATATTTGAATATAGCACTTTGAATGGCTCAAACTCAAAATGTATTAGACTATACAAATTTGCTATTGCTTTTACCTATTTATGTAAAATTTCAGCAACGGCAAATATATTAGAAATAAGTTAACTAATGTATCTCGTTTAAATAAAAGACGGCTTAAAACGCGATGGGGCCGTGTCCCCGTGACCGCGGCTGGTGCAAAGCAACCGCAAAATGGGCCGAAGTTAAAAATCATTTTCTAATAAGTTTAACTAATATATTGCGTTTTAAACTGTTAAAATGTTTTAATTAAATGTGTACTACTCGCGTAAACTATAGACAGTATCTCTAAAATATAAACATCTCAATTCATAAAATTGCAGTTAGGCTAGTCTGCCTCTAACGGCCTCAAAATATTTCTATATGTCTCTCATAGATAATAATTATAGGTATGTCGGCAATTCTGAAAGAAGAAATAGAAGAAGAACAGAAGATAGTGCTCAGTTCTTCAGGTTATGCAGGCGAAGGAATATGTGCAGTCCACCGGTACTCTCTCGCCTCCATGACCTGAGGGACTGTGCTGAAGCAACAAATCAAGGATACACAGTATTATTGAAAGGAATTATGACTAACATCAATCAAAAAATATTTTTGTATTATATTATGCTTCTATTAATCTTAGTTGATGAGATAAAACATGGTTTGATATTGAGAATGTTAGTGTAATGGTAGCGATGTATGGCTAGTAATCAACGGGTCCAACATTTTTCTAATCAATTTATGTCAAGCTTCTCTGAAGATCTGGATATAAAATGGGTAGTAGGAATATCAAAAATCCGTCTAAGTCTCGAACCACTGATGAAAAAGCCGTCAAATTCAGTTACGTTTCGATGTTAGACTGTACATTTCCGAATAACCGAAGCCAAAATAGCATGGCATCTGCTACAACGAATCTTTTAGATGTTTCTGGGTTATCTCACCTACTATCCAGTGAGCCCCATTGTCCGTCCTTCTCTATCATAAAAAAAGCTAGTTTGACCTGACGTTTCTCTCTAAGACCAAGGCTGCAATTAATATCTTCTACTTTACTATATGTCTCGTTATATCAATATACAAGAACTTAACTTACAGATATATGTAAATGTATGTAAACGTCGTTAAAATCGACGACCATAACACTTTTATTTGCCTTACAAATATCTTGTATCTTCACTTGATATTAATGTCCCCCACAGCTGGGGTCAACCCCATAACGCCATAAGCATTGTAATGTGAGGGAAACAGGCGATGTTATATCTTCTCGATACAATTGTTAATAAAGATGAAGATATTTGTGCCACCCGGGCCTGCTCGTAAAACTGTTCGGAGCCTCGTAAAGTACGATATCTGGCGTAGTCCACGCGCTGGAGCGAGAACAGAATTTTATATTCAACCTTGCCTTTTCCCTAAAACAATGTTCGTTTAATCGGAAAAATGAAATGGGGAATGTATACACAACAACAGACATTTGTATCTATCAGAAAATTCATTATATAATGATTAATACATATATTTAGTTCACCTCCTCCTAAAATCATTGATTATTTAATGGGGATAAAATTACTTTTTCGTTCGGCCAAAACACAGTAGATCAACTACTATCCTGCTAACATATTCGAATCTTACTTCTATAATTCTTATCCTGGCCGTTTTCTAGTTTTTGACCTTGCGTATATTATTAGTGGCTTTGTTTTCGACATCTGTTATTTCTTAAATGTTTCGGTTAATTAAGAAAATCCTTGCGCCTGTCGTAAGAGACCATCTAAAGTTTAAACTCAGCTAATTTAATTGTTCAGTAATCATATCTAAGAAAATCGCCATTTATCTATAGCTTGCATCGTGACAGTACTAGAGAAACATTTTAAGTATAAAGTGGAGAGTATTGTTACTATTTTCACATTGTCTTTATCTACTCTCAACTGGTGTAAGGTTTAAAAGGAAATGAAACTTTCTTAGCTAACGTCTAAGTAGGATTATAAGTTTTGAGCTTTATTTGTGGTCGTCAATAATATCAGGTAAAATAGATCTGATAAATTATTTGCATGTTATATATTTGCAAGTAAATAATAAAATTTTTAAATTTACTTACTTTTTCTTGTTGCTATAAACTAAAACAGGGTTCGTACTGTAGAAGAGTGGGGTAGCAGATACTGTAACTCGAGTGCAGGGTCTGTCACCAAACTCTATTTTCCGGAACCGGGGTGTGCTCGCAGGGTAATCAATCAAGGTATCAAACTTGATTACAAAACGACGGAATTCTTAACTTGATACGGCGGGTTCTCTGCATACTTGCATAAATTCAAACGCAAGGTCGATCCATCGTGTTCCTGTGACGGATCAACGCCGCAAAACGTGATTCACTGCCTGACTGAATGCCCTGTGAGCATGCGTTCGAGGATGGACGTCGTAGCAGCGGAAAATAATTAGTAACCCGGAAAATTTCTAATTCTTTGTGAGCGATATAAAAGTACGACCCATCTTCTTTATAAACTAATAAAACGGCTAATTGGAGAAGTAGTAGGTAGATAGATATAGATATAGATAGCATAATAATAATAAGTTGAGTTTTGCATAAGTATATATAATTGTGAATAAGTAGACCAGGACCAGACCCGTCGTCCTTAGCTGTTTAAGCACTATGGACAAAAATATAAAAAAAAACTAAACATATAAAAACATTATTTTATTTAAAGAAAATACTTAAACGGTTTTACATAACTTTTAATGTGTACTCGCGAAAACTACAGACAGTAGGTATTAACATTATTATATGATATATATATTTCAGGATTTAAATTTTAAGTGTAGTAAAGGTGTAGATATTATTTATTATATTATTGTCGCACTTGCGCAAACTACAGACTCTATATGGATCTTTAAGAAGTAAAGTGTGAAATCTAGAGGTGATTTGACTTCATTAAAATACTTTAGTCGTAATCTATATCTATACTTAATATATAAAGCTGAAAAGTTATGTTATTTTAACAGCTAATCTGGGAACTACGGTTTCGAATGGAAAAATTCTTTTTGTGGGTTGGTTAGAAAATCTATCGAGGAAGGTTATAGGCATAATACACATTGCGATGTGACTAATAGAGCGAAGATACCGCGAGAAATGTGAATACAAACGGGGGGAAATTTTTCATCTCGGTTTCCGTCGGTTTCAGATGCGTACGCTGCGAAAACGGTTCAAGATACCTAAAAGTTGTATAGGAAAGAATGATTCCCATTTAAGAGCCTTTATACCCTAAACGCGCAATTTGGCTTAAAACTGGGTTTTTCAAACCTGTTAATATCATCAACCACTTAACGTACAAACATGTTGGTTCCTTATCCTTAGTAGAAAAAAAACCATTTGCTGTATTAATGCGTTAAATCGTAATAAAATCTCGTTTTAGTATTATTTTCAAGGCTTAAAATATATGAAACTACTAAAAGATGTAATTAAAAAAAACTTATAACCAATTAAATACTGTCTATAGTTTACGCGAGTAATCAATTAAAATAAAACACTTTAACGGTTTAAAACGCGATATATTAGTTAAACTTATTTGAAAATGAGATCAGAACATCCTCCATTTTAGTCTCCCCGTACCACGGCTGCTGCAAAGCATCCGAAACGTCGGGCCGAAGTTAAAAATCATTTTAATAATATTATATATGCGAAAGTAACTCTGTCTGTCTTCGGCTTTAACTCCGAAACTACTAAACTGATTTAATTGAAATTTGGTACATAGATATTTTAGAGTCTGAGAAAGGACATAGGTATATTTTAATGCCAAATAGGGGTTTATATTATAGGGGTTGAAAAAGAGGATAAAAGTTTGTATGGAAATTCGTGGTTTTTTAAGCTAGAACAATGAAACTTTCTTCTTTGGTTTTTGGGAATAGGAGTGGGAATGGGAGTAAGAGTAAGAGTGAGAGTGAGTGTAGGAATGAGAGTGGGAGTTAGAGTAGGAGTGATGTGAGGTGAGAGTGTTGCGGCAAAGTAGCACATACAACATAGATTGGCTGCCCTAAATGCGCCCTTACATAAATTAATAAACAGCCTAAATAGATAAAAAATTCTACCCCAAGTCATTATTCCACGCGGACGAAGTCGCGGGCACAGCTAGTTACTTATATATAAAGAGAGGAGAATAAACCCATTGAAATGTAATTATTAGTGCTCGTGCGTTAAAGATAAGAACCCTCTTAAATGAAACTTATCTGGATTCATTTGCAAAAATAACGATTTAAAAACGCGTTAAGCGTTCTAGTTGGCTTCAAAGCCTGAAAGAGTTCGTTGGAGCTCATTCTGTAAGTTTTTAAAGCGCTTATCGCGAGCATCATTGTATTCGAAAAGTTCAAATTAACACAACTTTTGGCGCCGCGCCACACAATGTAGCTACTTTAAGTTCATTTTAACATTTAAGGTTGTAATTTAACAAAGTTGAGCACTGTGTGATTATTTTCATAGGATAAAGCGAGCACTTGTGAAACATCGGCTTAAGTGTATATTTACTTGATTTTACAAGCAATATGAAAATATAATTTAAACAAGTAACCGTTCTTTTACATTTTGCATCACCTAGCTTAGCATGAAAGATACTGGGTTTATAATTAATTGTTTCTGTGACCAAGACACAGAAGGCACACCTGTAAATAAACCTTTCTCCCTTGTGTTTGAAAGTAGATATCCTTTCTCATAAGCGATCCCTTCACAACAATGTTACGAACGAAATTTACAAATTTATTTATTTAATTGATAAATATAGTTATGTTGAGATATCCCAAAATGTACCAATTGTAGAGCTTAAAAGCTTCCTAATTTACCTGGATATTGGACACTTTAAAACAGCTACTGTCTTGTTATAGAGATTTAGATTTCAATGCCATTCGGCTGAGGAATAATTATTTTCAACGACCAGCATTAAATATCTTGAGAGTGCTGTTATTGGCTATTCATTGAGGCCGCGGCTCACAATCCTATTGTGGCAAGCTCTGGCCTTATTAGGGCTATTGTGACCGTGATGCTGAATAAGAAATTTTATACAACATTTAGAATTGACGATTCTTATCCCTGTGGTATCTATTCTTATATTATAAAGCTTTGTTTGTTTGAACGCGCTTATCTCGGGAACTACCGGTTCGATAGAAAAATAATTTTTGTGTTGGATAGACCTTTTATCGAGAGTTTTTGGCTGTAAATATGTCTATGTTCTAAGATTAACTCGCAAGGACGGGACCTGAACGACGACGTAGGCAACAGCTAGAATTTAAAAGCGGAGAACGTTGTTCGTATTGACATAAAGAAAATGATGTCCAAAATCACTATTCTACGCGGACTAAGTCCGAATATTCAAAATCAAAAAAGGTCGACAGCCTACCTTGCTTAATTGTAATGTAATGTGTAAAAAAAGTCGCGAACACAGCTGTCACATCATATACTTGTAACTGATTTCAGATTAATGAGGAATGAGAGGAAAATGGAAAACTATAATTATCTTGATAATTCGTTATATTGTGTTATACCGCGTAGTAAAAAGTCTC